GCAATAAGCTTTTGAATATGCTTTGATTCCACTCACAAGCCCTGGATTTTCGTAAAAGCTCATAGGCACATGCATTCGCTCACCGGGCTTTGATAAGTTTGTTTGCACTGTCTGTGTTGTACCACTTTTTATCCATAGCCTTCTCTGTTTGCTTCTTTCAAAAATGTAACTCATGTGAACTGACCAAGCAAGCAAAACCTGCTTTATATTGATGATGCAACATGTTTAATCTTCATGTCATCGAGTCGCTGGGGCCTTAATCAACCATGGGCTAACCCATTCCAAAGACGAGTTGAAATCCCGGATCTGTTAGGTCGGTGTACAGCATTGTTACATCAAACAATAATTAGGTGTTGTTGTTGGAAATGTCTTTACATGGTTTGGAAAGAATCCTGGGTCTGTGTTGGTTAATTGGCTGCGAGAATTGCTTAATGCATTGCCCATCATGATTAGGTTTCACGGTAATCTGTTGTTAGGTTGTTTCATGATGGAGCACCCTTGTGTTGTGAAAAGGAGGTAGTTAGGTCGGTGCTTCATTTCCAGGAGTGCCCTTTTTTTTTGCTCTGCTTCATGCATGACCCGCATAATTTTGAGGCCTTTACAATCAATTAGGAGAACAGCTAATCCTTTCCGTTGCCTCATATGTGAATGAACCAGCTGAACAAGTAATCCATCCATTCAGAAATATAAGATGTTTTGGATATTTCAATATGGACTACATACAGACTGAAATGAGTGAACAAACACACTGAAATGTGTCTACATACACCTGATTCACAAAAAAGTTAGAGAATCTTATATTTGTGAACAGAGGGGATACTATATTGATTGATGTGACACGGGTACTCTCGATATCATTGAGTTTGCCTGGGGCCTTAATTAGTAGTATGATGGACTGCTTCTGAAATTTTGTAGTATGATGGATTCTTGTTGCTACTACAATAATTTCCAGATTTTGTCAACAGTCCTAAAGAGGATAATTTAAATTGGTGGCACCAGACATGTTGCCGGGGTGACTGAAAATTGCTTTGCTTCATGGCCCACACAAGTTAGAGGTCATTACAATAAATTATGGAAAGAACTAATCACTTCCGTCGTCTCATGTTAATGGACCAACTAAACCAGTAAAACTTTATTGATTGCTGCAACATGGGTACGTAGTCTTCGTATAATCGAGTTTGCAGGGGCCTTAAGTAGTACTGAATGTACTGTGTCTATGCATGACAGGTGCAGGTGGGGTTGCTATGGAGCCAGCTGACAAGGATGCCATGGAGTCTATACGCCTGGACAGGCTTACTCTAGAGACTTTGATTGCTCAAAGCCCTCACCTAGAAGACATGCATTTGATAGATTCTCTGATGTATCTTAAGCTCATAGCCTCCAAGGTGTTAAAAAGGCTGACAATTGATGGCTACATAGATGTGCGCATGGGTTTTACAATTTCCGCCCCCCGTCTGATTAGCTTTGAGTGCAAGGGTAACGAACTGAAAGATATTTCTTGGAGAGACCAGCCAACTCTAGAGAGTGCTCACATAGATAGATACTTGTGGGAGTACGTTTGATGGCGAAACTAACCACACTAAAATTCTTGTGCATGCAAAGAAGCTTGCCTTATTTCGTTCTGACATAAAGGTATGCTTCTAGGGAAACAAGACCGTATGCATGTTCTATATGCTATTTTCTAGTATTGTTTCGGTAGAACGTCAACTCCGTTGATTCTTTACGAAAATTGGATGGATAAACTACCATACTTGTATGTGAAGCTGTGGTACATTTCTTGTAGTACTATTTAGTGGCTGCTAGCAGGTAGTCATTTATAACGTGCACATTATCATGTTTCCGGGAACAAACTGAAAGACAGGAGAGTAGTTCTGGTTAAAGTTAAAACACCTCTGCTGTAACAAAATGAGAAACGGAAACTAACTAATTATTTCTCTAAGCTGTGTTAGTGTTGGATAGCGATGAACAACTGTTGATTGTTCAGTTACATTTTCTCAGATGATGTTCGGAAAATAGTTCTGAATACAAGTATGATTTTAATTGGTACCAAGTGAACTCTAGCATCATGTGGATTTTTAGTTTCCTACCATGACACACCTTTTTTTTTAAGTACGGCAATGTATTTTACTCTGTTTTTTAGGTAATTTGAGACCAGTAGTAGCTGTGAGTTTTCCTTGTTAAATGATATTCATGTGTTATTGAATGTTTGTTCACGCTCCCTTACAATAGACCGGGTGTGAAGTGCCATTTTTATTTTTATTTTCCTTTTTCTGTTTTGCATGCTACAGCTAGTCATGCACTATTACCGTGCTTGCAAATGCCATGATATCTTTGTCCTATCTATCTCTACTCTTATAAAAAACAGAGTTGGTGATGATGGTGTGCCTGCCATCCTGCAATATAGGTCGTTCGATTTATATCTGACGGATAGGAAGGAAACTATGACAATTTTGCAAATAAGGCCTTCCTTCGTTCATCATTTTCTCTCACAAGATAAACTACTCATATAAATGCATCTTGATGTTCCGTGCAACACATGGGCATCTTGCTAGTAAGATTATAACTCGCTAGCTCTCTCAATGCAAGGTTATGCTGGAAAAGGAGTTGCCAACATGTCCAGTGTTTGAGAGCCTCATAACTCTGGAAATCGGGAAATGGCATCTGACCAAGGACCTCTACACTGTGCTCCGCTTCCTCCAGCTTTCACCGAGGCTAGAAAAGCTCAAGCTGGTGCATAAATCTGTACGCCTTATTCTGCAGGTAGCTAGGATTATTGCACTAGTATAAGAATGTTCACTAAAGGGCACCCTTTATGTTCCTTGTTTGTGTCTTAGTATGGAGGAGGAGCCGCACACGGTCGTCAACCAACTGATGGAATGACCTTCCAGTGTCCACTCCTCGAGAGCGTCATCATACAGTGCTTTGAGGGGGATGAAGGGATCGACATGCTAGGGAATGTCATGGTATCTAACGGGGTCGGCCTGGGCAAGATAAATGTCATTGTTCTGGTGAAAAAGAAGTATGGCAGCCCAGAGGAGGTGAATGTTACTTTCTGTAAGTATATCAAGAAGAGGGCCCTGGAGGATAAGATGTGTGCCGGGAGCGAGGAACCGACGAAGAAGGCGAGACGCTGCTGAGAATCTGAAGATGGTGAACTCCAGAGACTGCCTTTGTGGAGGATGGGCATCCACAGATCACAAGCATGAACCGTGATGATTCTGGGAGCTGCTTACTCAGCCATCCTCTTTCCTTTTGTTGTGGCGTCGAACTTGCTTCGTCTCTGGTCTTTCCTTCTGTTCCGAGACTCGTGTCAGGTTGCTCTACTGATTTAGAACTCTTGTAGTTGTACGGGTGTACCCTATATTTGGACAGTGTGTTCTCTCTCTGTCTTATACGCAGGGTCAGTTTGGTGCCAACTAATCTGTGAAGAAGAGCAGCTAAACGGTTATAGGTGTGCTGCTATGGCTATGGTCTGGAATGCAGAATTGCAGATATTGTGCAGCTCCGTATTGCAGAATTGCATCTATCAAAGGCCTCTGTTCCTGCTGCTTTACTGTTTATCAACACACATTGTACTGTATGTTTGCATGCTGTGAATGCTGAGTGAGCTCTGTTTCATCTCTTAGCCAGTAGTGTCATGTTTCCGCATACTGTCTTTCGTTGTCAATGCATTGCACACTGAATTTTCTGAGGCTCAATTTGGTACCGGCTGAGACTGAATCGCTTCTTCCTTACTGTCTCTCTGGTGTCTCTGAATTGAAGCACAAGTCGCAATATTTAGTATAGCACATTTGACCGCCGATTATATCTAGGGCTTCTTTTCGAGCCTTGGAATAGATGCGGTCGAGGGAGAAAGGAAGGCGTGGCATTTCATCTCTGTATCGGAATTTATCCAGTCCCATTTTGTGGATTACCAATGGATAGCCAGAAGTACGGCAGGAACTTCGTGGCTAACACGGCCTCACCATGCACCTCACCCATACACAGTGTATATGGCGTGCCAAGGGAAACACATGAACTTAAGTCACTGATGAAACAAAGCTGAATTTAAGAGCCCTGCCTTCGCAGTGATTGTTCTGCAAGGTGCATTTGATTTGTTCCACTTTAAATTATTCATATTATTACGCCCTTTGCATGGATGAGAGTTGCAACACGCATTCGCGTACGCCAGTTTAGTTTCTGATGCAAGTTTCTCTTTGCTCGCTGTTCCATGGGAACGCCGTGTTGAAGACAAACAGTTTCCTCGCTTAGCCAGTGGCAAAAGAACCCGGAATGGTTGTTTCTGTATACTGACTGTGGATGCAAGCTTCAAGTAGAATTAATCGCACACAGTATTTACTTGACCAAGGGCAACCTATCCATGAGACAGAGAAGATGCTAATACTAACCCAAAAAAGAAAGAAAAAAACGAGAAAAAAGAGGCACTAGAACTTGGGGAAAGGGACACGACAAAAAACAACATCAAGGGACATCGTTGGAGCCAAACCGAATGCATGCAAAACCAGGTACACATAGAAACGTTAGTTTATAATATAGTGTCTTAATTAAAAATGGTAACAGATTGATAAATAATTGATATGGTCACAAAAAAATGTGACAACTTAAAAAAGAAGTTTTTTCAATGCATGAGCATCATATATTATTGAATTACAGATTCTGAATAAAGATCATGGAACCCCCCTCCAAACACCACAAATTGAAGGAGAAAACATCCAGATAAACATCACTGGATTTACTTGAAATTGCAGGGCGGGGGCGCCTTGCCGGCGCCGCCACCACCAGGATTGTGCGGGAGCGCCTTGCCGGCGCCGCCGCCATCAGGATTGTGCGGGGGCGCCTTGTGCGGGGGTGCCTTACCGGCGCCGCCGCCACAAGAATTGTGCGGGGGCGCCTTGTGCGGGGGCGACTTGCCGGCGTCGACGCCACCAGAATTGTGCGGGGGCGCCTTGCCGGCGCCGCCACCACCAGGATTGTGCGGGGGCGCCTTGTGCGAGGGCACCTTACCGGCGCCGACGCCACCAGGATTGTGCGGGGGCGCCTTGCCGGCGCCGCCACCACCAGGATTGTGCGGGGGCGCCTTGCCGGC